TCATCTAATAGCAAGAGGTGGAGCGGCGCGCCGAAAAAAGTTGTCAAAAAAGCTCGCCGCTCGCTGCGTGACAACTTTTTTTCAGCGCGCCGCTCCACCTCTTGCTATTAGATGATGCCCCACCGTTGCCTGCCGAGTCCGGCCTGCCGCCTTTTACGCTCTTATTCGCTCAGACATTAAAATTAATTTCTCGATAACTATTGCGAATTTTGCAAAATGGTATAGGACTTTTCTATTCAGTTTGCCCCGGTCTATCTACCATCTACGGGACATACGGGTATTAGGACACACCCTGTATAACTAAATAAATAAATATTAATTGTTTGGTTAAGATAAGAAATATAAATAAATACAATAAAAATAAACAGAAAGGAGCAAATTGGAAATTTTTACATTGCTTCCTTATCATCGGGGCAAATTGTGTTTTTCAATTTTGGCTTACTTATAGAGAAAGCTTTGTGAGTAAAGGTGCAAATTGGAAATTGCTTCCGCAGATTTTTAATTCGCACATAAAGCTTCGTCTATGAGGAAGCTAAGAAACCTGTATGCGCATAGGAGAAAAATTAGAAACTTGCACATGATTTTGTCATAAAGGAAACTTTGTACACGAACTAAAATTCTGAGGAAGCAATTTCTAATTTGCACTTTAACTCACAAAGCTTCCTCTATAAGGAAGCCAAAATTGACAATAAAATAACAACTTGCCCAGATGGTAAAGTAATACGCAAATTTCCAATTTGCATCTTTAAAATTGAAAATCAACTTACCGAGATGATGAGGAAGCAATGTGCAAATTTCCAATGTTTCTTCTATGTTTTTGTACTTTCTCTTTGGTGAAACCAAATAGATTTCTTTTTTATATCAAGGAAAAGAAGAAGCAATAAATATATAGCACTATCATGATATTTTATATAAATGTTATTTTAAATGTGTTATAGGATAGAGTAAAACAAGCTTTGAAACAACAAGAGCTTGAAGAGAGTAGCGGACATAGGAAAAAAAGGAAATCATCAGTCTTGAATGTTAAAATAACCGAATTCGATGAAAAAGCAGAGACGGACGACAAAGATGTTAAAGATAAAGTCAAAGAAGACAAGGATGAAAAACCCAAAGTAAAAAGAAAGTCACTACCACCACCTATGGATTTTGCAGAACTTTTGAAACTCGCCGCAGTAAAGCAACATGAACCCGTAGTTATAGAGATTAAACCAAAGGTCGAAAATGAGCGACCGATGACAAAACGCCAAAAAATGGAATATATACAGGAAAAAGAAAGAAAGGTGCAACGTGAGAAGAAAGATTTAGAGGTCAAGAAAAAAACAAGCGCATCCAGCAAACAAGATAAAACACAATTGAACAAGATTCCAAAGGCTAGTGAAAAGTCTGTAATCTCAAATTCAACGTCAAATAAAAGTGTTTCCAAAGTTGCAACAACTATTTCTAAACAAGTTACTGATAAGTCCGATAATAAATATAATATTGAAAAATCAAAATCAAACAAGAGCTCACCTAAGAATGAATTATTAGAAGAACGGAAGAAATTAGAATCTGAGAGAAAACAACTAGAAGAAATGCGACGCGCTATTGAGGAAGAAAAAAAGAAATTAGCGCAAAGTAAAAGTAAACTAGAAAATATGAAATCTCAGCCTTCTAATAAATTAAATTTGACTAAACCTAAAACTATAAATAAGCAAATATCATCCAGTGATATTAAGCCGCGACCATTTCCACCTTCGGATTTAAAATTACAACCCTCATTAGCTAATACTAACTTAGCTAATCCAAAAGTATTTCCCCCACCCGATGTTAGGCCTTTGAAATCAAAAACTGTCAAAAAAGCATCCAATAAAAGTAAGTTTACTTAAATAATACAATGAAAGAATTTTGTAAAAAAACCGGGCAATCGTAGTTGAAATCTACATTTTAATATATATAAATATATATTTATTTGCAGGACGCATCTACGATGATGACGATTTAGATTTGGCTGACTTCATCGATGATGGATCAGAAAATAATGACGAAGATTACAGTAAATATATTAGTGAAATATTTAACTATGATAAAAGTAAATATAAAAATATTGATGATGACGATGATACTGCTATGGAAAGTAATTTTGCACAACAACTGAAGGAAGAATATATATCTTCAAAAATGGGTATTTATATTTCGAGTATTTTGTAAGATATTTATTAATAAGATGAATAGCCTGTTAATGTTGACATTAAACATTTGAAGGATACCTGGAAGATATAGAAGATATGCGTAAAGAGGCGTTAGAAAAAAAGAGAAAAGCAATTTTAAAGAAGAGGACCAAGAAATAATATAATTTACTTCAACTTTGTACATATTTACATGTATCCTATTTTTCAGGATAATTATTAATAATTATTAAATGATAAGTTGCAAAGAGAATGTATTGTATATAAAAGTATAATTTTATTTGTATCGATATAAAAACCATTTTTACATTTCTTTGCCTTTCTGTTTTAATAGAGATTATGCATTGTTAAGATTATATACAAAGTTATAAACATCAAAAAGAATAATTTTTCAATGAGCTTTCGTAATAGAAAGTTCAAAATATTTTCTTTGATGAGTTTTGAAATGCAAAGGAAATGTGGAAACAGATGTCAGAGAGAAGCCTAAGAGCTGTCACGGCCCAGTTTTACGTGATTCTCTATAGTCACAAACGTATAACTTATCTACCCATTAAGTGTAATTCTATGAACCTCTGTTGCATTGATGCCACATGAAACCATAACGTTTAGTCGCGTACAGTGTGCATTGAAAAAAGCACATCGTGAGAAAAATGACAGGTTGCTGCGTCAACGAATGCAATAATCGTACTGAAAAAGGCTTTTCAGTATTTTGTACACCAACAGGCGAAAGAAATAAAGCACGATGTGACGAATGGATACGACTAATTGGACGAGACACATTGCCCTAAAAGGCTTATGTTTGTGAGGTATGGTTACTAAGTTATATATATAATCGCGTGGGAAACAATGTCTTGTATTTATAAATATTACATAAATGTTGTAGGTGCATTTTGATAACAAACATTTCAAAAACCAACGAGCAGATGGAAGGAAACTGCTTCGCCAAAATGCAAAACCACAATACATTCGAATGAAGTGGAGAGTATAGAATCTTGTAAGTTGTACACAATACAATAATATCCATGTGTAAATGATTGTACATATATACTATAATGTAATTTACTTTAATTGAAACAAATATTTATATATAAAGATGTGGAGATGACGGCATATACCACAGCGAGCAATGTGAAAGAATCACAGCATTGCACAAACATGGCAAGAATCACTGCATCAAACTGTAAAACGTATGATGAAAAATATGTTACTAAATTGAGGAAAACGTTGAAGAAGGTGGTGCAACGAAACAAAATTCTGAAAAGAAAATTGCGAGAAAAAAATGTAAAATTAAAAAAGATCTTCAATGACGACCAATATTGGTTTCTCGCACATATTGTAATACGCAGAGAGAAGTAGGATCATGATCTTCGAACACAATAAACAAGGCATTAAGACTCTATATGGCCGGCGGATAAAAAGTTTATGACGAGCTACGTCGACAGAACTTACCATATCCAAGCATTCGCACATTGCAACATCGTTTGCAGGGCTTCAAATTTAAGCCTGGTATCATGGGCGATGTATACAATATGTTACAAACTAAAGTGAGTACAGATTGTCTTACTTGTATAGCTAACACTATTTTTGTTTTCTTTTACATAATATCCTAATAACATATGTTATATTTTCAATTAACATTGTTTTATGCATGTTATTTTGTAACGTAAATTTAGGTGGAAACATTTAAACGTGAAGAAAAACACGCTGTACTTTTAGTGGACGAAATGTCCATCAAACCGGGGCTACAATACAACTCCATAGCAGCAGTCATTGGTCTACCAACAATGAAGCTATCGAATGGAGCGGATAATACTGAATTTTCAGCTACCCATAGCCTTGTTTATATGCTATGCGGCGTTTCTTCGAAATGGAAGCAAACAGTAGGTTATGAATATACAGGCAATTCATTTTGTCCGCGACAAATAATGAGTAACATTATGACAATTATTCAAAAGTCACACGAAATCGGACTAAGTACCCACACAGCACATGTAGATACTGAGAAAGTTCTTAGAATATCTCAACAGTACATTACGTATATTCTCATAGCTTTCGAATATGTTCTATGATGTACTGAGTACGTACTGAGAATGCACTAATGTCCGCTTTTTCTCATACATAGTATGTGCTGAAAATATACCAATGGTATATACTGAGGATATTCTGTTGATATACCAGAATATCAACAGAATGTTATTTGTAATATGTATCGTATATCGTAGGTATATACCCGAGCAGAAATTTTAGTAGGATCCTGATAGGGGCCTAATAAAGATGCCTTAATGCCTGGTCAGGCACTCATCAGGCAGCCCTGACAG